CCATCCTTGATAATCTTTTTTGGAGCTTTTCTTCTCGATTATATTTGCCTTCTGTTCTGCAGGAAGGCAAAATTTTTGGTTTTATAGATATTTTCGTTTTTGGGAAAAAAGTGGATTCCGCTTTTTTGTCCATTGTTCTCATTGGCATCATTTAGGTATCGATACCTTTTCGAAAAGAAACGTGAAGGAGATGGCATGCCAGTTATATACGATGTAGAGCGAAAGGATTACAGCGGTGGTCAGAGATATAAAAATTCTTTGGATAGTTTAGACGGTGAGTATTGTATGTGATTTGCTTCACGGCTTCACGACTTCCATTAAATACGGTTCATGTGGTTGTGGACCAGTTATCTTCCTTACATGAGCTCCGGTTGAAGTGTTTTTTTTTCACAGGTGACGAGCCTGAGCGCAAGAAACACAAAAGCGAGAAAAAAGAGAAAAAGAAAAAGAAAGATAAGAAGAAGAAAGACAAGGTTGGTGGTCCTAGTTTGAAATTGTGTTGATGCAGTGTACTCTGAAAAGTTTCGTGAAGGCTTTTTCAGTGCTCTTTGATATTTGTCATTCAAATTTATTGTTATTCTTGTATTTATAGAGTTGGTTCCTGCTTTGTAACATAATGAGAATGAATTACAGAAAGACGAGGAAAGGAAACACAGAAAGACTGCAGAAACTGGCGGACCGGCACCTCCTGTGTTGATGGAGTTTTGAGAAAGCAATTCGAGGTCGGAATCTTTCGCTTTGCTTTCGAATGAATTCTTTAGTATTTGTTTTAATTAATCTATTCGTTAAACATAAGCGGAGATTACTTGCAAAAGCACAATTACTCAGGGATATGTGGGTGCGGATGGAAAGTCACCACAGGGAAAGATCTTTGTCAAAAGCATTTGGCAGCGGGTGGTCAACAGTAAAAATTTTGTGCTTCAAATACCGCAAGCTATGAGATTCGGTTGGACCATATCACATTTCCCCTACCGCTCTCTAATTTCGAGTAGACTTGACCTAGTGGAAGGTTAAAGGTGATGTGGTAGAGATGGTTGGATGCTATAAACATAGCGACGTTCCGATGCGTCATCTTTGGGCTCCGTCTTTCTACCCGAATAGCCTATGCCCTAGAAGTTAGATTGTGTGTCTAATTTACCGGTTTTTCCTAGCGATTTTTCTGCAAGGGATGGGAATTGCACATCCTTTCTGATGTGGTGACGTTTGCCACCGTCGTTGCTCGAAAATAATTGTCGTCTCTTTTCAAACGTAAGGGGCGGGGAGGGCGCAGAGGGGCGTGATCTATGCAAGTGAGTGAAGGATGTAAGCGGAAGTAAGCTGTAGTTTGCTATTGTGAGAGCGTTTGTGCGGTGTAACCAACACAGGTCGATCTCGTGGAAATGAGCAATCAGCTTACAAGAGTATTGATCCATTTTGGTAATTGTGGTCATGGCATTCATTTTTCTACAAATTTAGCTATGGTTGAGGTCTGGTCCATATTGATGAAAGAATTGCTTGTCCACATAAATAACTATCAATTCTGCGGCTCATTGAAAACTTTATTGCAATCCCACACCAAACTCAAAGAACAGTCATTCGAGCTCTGATAGCCATGGCAACCTCTTCACGGCATGATGACATGATTGCGTTGTGAATCTGTTTTCTTCTTCGGATGCTAACCTGTCGTTCACGTGCAGAGCGATGTTCTCTGATGAAGATATATGAAGCAATTCCGGCTGTAATAAGTGCATTGACAACAGTGACAAACGAACGAGTTTGCACAAAAACTGTCTAGTCGCTCCATGTTTTTATCTATTTTTTGCCCATATTTGGAAGATTTTTCTGGATTGTTTTTTTTGGAACGATATAAATTTGTAACTTACTGAGTACTACAGCGATACAAGCGCATATTAGACTCCAACCTATTTCACAGTAGTACATCGCTTGAGCCTGAAATCAGTGATATTTCGTTTTTTTTTCCTCGAACTCAGTATTTAATTCGTATATGCTCAGTGTTTACGGTGTATATACTTTTTGAACTTGACAATATTCTTAACTCTCAACAATCAAAAACAAGTCAAAATTCCTAACTCTTTTCATACCCTAGCACGTGAATAACGGTCGAGGAATTCTCGCATGGCTAAACTGGGTTAGTGTATCGCGAGTGAATGTACGCTCCATAAGTGAGAGTTGGGATAGACGTCCATAGGCGAGAGCACAGTAGGTGTGTCACCGGCAGCAGCCGCACTTGATAGAGTCGCGTGGATAAGCTGCTTCCAACATACATCGCTGGATATCAGCAAAGCATGCTGGCAACAGCTTATCCACGCAACTTCTATCAAGTGCGGCAGCAGCACGTCACTTCCGGTGACACGCCTACCCCAACTCTCGGATGTGGGCTGCATGTGCGAGAGCACAGACCGCTCGCGCATTGCGAAAGTGACCGCGCGGGAGAGCGTGACTGAACGTGTTAAAATCCTCGACGAGTCCCCGACAGATTGTTACCCTGCGCCCTAGTGAGCCAATTTTTGAGCTCAACCCATCCCGCTCTGGTGATCCAATTCTAAAATAATAAAGGTGTCGACTTTTTCGCACGCACCTGGCCTCCATCGAGGTTCCCTTTTCCTTATAAGCAGTGGTGTTCTGTACTAGGACAAAAGCATTACTCTGAGAATCTGCTTGTTATTCTGCTCTTGCCCTTCACCAAATCACGGGACCTCCTTTTTGTTTCAGATAGAGCTCAAAAGACCGTTCGGTAACTCTATCTTCTTTCTTATGTAGTAGGAGAGCTAGGTATGAGGACCAATGTCAAGGGAATCACTACAGCTCTCCACTAACTTCACTATATTTCGGATCACTCCCTACTCTCCCTGTCCATCCAACGCCGGAATTAACAAGGCTGCGGATGGGACTTCTGGTGAATTAGATCTGTAAAGAACCAACCTCATTTGTTGGTGTCCGAATGTTTGTTGCGTGTATGATGTAGGTAGTAATTAATATGGAAATTGTGTAGAGAATTACGGTGGTTATCAAAAAGCGGAAGACCAGCTGCTCCTGCAACTTTTTATGCATTACAGGCTTCTTCTTCGTATGTATAAAACATTTTTGAAAGTGAAATTCAAAAGTAGCGTTTTCTAATGATTTTCATGGGAAAGCTTATGAAAACTCGTCGTTTTCAAAATTTTATACCTTTTGGGTCTGTAGACTGTTGAAGACGCCTGCCATTTGACACAATGCTGCAACGAGAGCGCAGAGAAAGCAGAAAATGTCTGGAAGTAGAAAGTTCCACGCGCTCTGGTCTTTTTCGAATATAAGTGATGGTTTGTGCTCCTACCGATTGGCCAATTCGTGTACAAAATTCGCCATTTTTCAGATGGATCGCCAACAAACCAGTAGCACGAGGAAGCGTAGAGCTGTTGACTGCGTGATGCATTCCATCGATATCCTTCTGAAAAGCGTCGTTGGCAGCTCATGGGCTTGTTGGTTTGTTAAACTCACTGTATCACTTTTACTAGTGGTGCCTTCTAGATGAACAGGTGTTCTGTCTGTTTGGTTGCTAATTCACATGCTATACTGTTATTGTTCTCATATTCAACGCCCTGCCTGTTTGTTGTGAGTATTGCCAATAAGCGCATATTCAGTAATTTTACCCCATTGCGTGTCGCGATTATCGCTTACTGATGAAGCAAACGACAAAAACCTTCAGAGGCACTCTCATAAGGGCGATCCGCAATTGGCTATCCTAACGTTGATGTTTTCTTCCTTGCTTGGAAACCTGTGCAGATCCTGCTCGCCTTATGGACCCCGCGTACTTCGTCTTAGAAAGACGAGTTGTTATTCTTAGTTTTTAGTGTTCCTTATCCTTAGGCCCAGTTTATATAGTGGGCGATGGTGTGAATGCGCGGATGCAGCGCAGGATTGGATACCCAGCGATGTCGAGTGGCCACCCCTCACCACTATCGCAAGTGGGAAGCGAGAAAAGCGAATGCGCTGACTAAGCGAAAAGATACGCATGTATTCAATTTTGGTTTCATATTTTACGCATTTCGCGCATTCCATGCGTTCTTCACCTGGCGCGAACCTTGAAAAGTCTAATGGACCTAAGCCGGACCTTTTCATATCACATACTTTTTCCCTCCTGAAATTTGTCTTGGTAGGGCACAATCGAATACCGCTTTTTTTGAACCCTCAAGTTTGTAGTTTTTTTTGCTTAGAACTGAGCCTTTTATTGCCCAGTTAGTGTTTCGCAGATAGTTCCGGTGAACACATTTAGTTTTTGGCTTTATACCCATCTTTAGTGGCAGTGCGCGGCAGATCGTGGCTGTCAGTAGGAATAGAATGCGTCCATAGCGTCAGAGGTAAGCGGGGCTACTAGATGCCACTTTAACGAACGTATTTCTTGGGTGTGGTTAACCAGGACAGAAAGTAACTTCTTCGCGTTCCGCAGCGCGAAACATTTTTTGCAGCAGAAACCTCGGGTCCACTGAGGATCAGTGGTGGACCCGAGGTTTCCGTAACGAACAATGTTTCGCACTGCGAAGCGAGAAAAAGTCGCTTTTTCCTCCAGTGAGTGACCCCTGATTTTTTACCAGCTCCAGAGCGGAGAGCTTATTTAGCGTGCTTAAATCGTATGTTCAAAGTAAATCACTCAATCTGTTGAAAGCCGAAATGTACGAAATAAGTGTCATTCCTCAAAGAGATCTCAGTTTTTTTTATTTGTAAACCTTTTATGCTACCTTCCATCTTTTTGTTATGCCACGAATACCTACATGTGTGCTCTTATTTTCATATTCTCAATAAATGATTTATAATTTTGAATATTGAAATTGTAAAAATGGATCACCCGTCATATCGTTGCATTGCCTGTAGAGATTTGTGTGTTGTTCGACCAAAGCGTAAGAGACGTTGCCACAAGATAGCCATGTCATCTGGCGCATCAGAATGACGGCAGGTATGACGGTGGAGGGTCTTAATTCAGCATATTGAATGTGAAACTTCAGCTATTGGCACTAGATTCAAGAAAAATAGTTGAACATTAGACTTTTGGCCGGGTCGTATCCAGGAAGGGGTGTATGCTGGTGTGCAATTGGTACCACACATCAGAAGTTCCTGTTTCGCTTCGCAGCGGACGAGTCCCTCACGGGCCCGAATCATTCCCGGTTCGCTTTTACGAACACCCCATGCAGCCTCCCTCTTCCCTGTTAAAAATGGCCCTAACTTTAGAGATATGGCCGTCGCACCGCATGCTTCACTCCATCCTCTCCCTTCACCTACTGGATTAGACCGTTTTGCGTTTGCTCCGCGATGTATGTGGCGTAGTGGCAAGAGTCGTCCTCGTCACAATTACATCAGTGAAACGAGTGTCGGACGCCACGCGCCGGCAGTAGGTTTGCTGATGTCGAACTTGTCTGGTGGGTAGAAAATAACATCGAATTGATATTTGCTAGACCTAAGCGTAATCGGTGGGACGGCGATACAACTAATTAAACTACAATTCTATATGATTCAGTCGTCCGTGCACGGTCATCTCAAACCGATCTATCCACCCAGCTTTAATAGTTTTAAATGCGGCCAACAAATTCATTCCCAAACCATTTCAGCGGACTTGAAACCGACCAACTCACTTTTCGCCATCAAATCCCTTCAGACTTGACAGTATGGTCTTTTTTTGTCAGTGCTTCTTTTTGGTCTTGTCATCACCACCATTCAAGGTCTCATAATTTGTCGTTCTACGGACGGCATCCCCCTCGTATTACTTTTATTTTCTCATGTAGACAATTAAATGTGACTTCTGCCAATACCTTGAAAAGTAAGCTATGGCCTGCAATTAGTATTTTGCATTCCCTTTTGAATTTTCAATTTTTTCAATTAGCAGTCCTGAATCGCTGGTGCTCCAGCGACGCAACGCCGACTCTGCCGATGGTCTTACCCCTTCCCTCATCTATCCCAATAAATTCATAAAATGTTTTAAAACTTAGTATCGTGTCCAGTTGACTTCCCGGATCAAAATTTGGGGCAGCTGGTAATAAATTGACTTGACCCCCAATTAGCAACAATCGTAGGTCTTACCTGCCGTATTTTCAGCAAAATCCAGTGATCAGTAGTGAATGAGATTAAAAGTATGACGGTAGCGTTGAGAAGAAGCACGATTTTTGCCTCCATAAGGCATTTTCTCGATAGGAGTGGCAAATGTTTTGCAGTGAACTTTCAGCAACTCGAATCGATCTCGTCGCCCACCACAAAGAACTTCGAGTAATTGGATTGAGCATGATGCAAAGGCGTTTTGGCGAGCGCATCCCAGAAATCGAGCCGAAGGGCTCGTCGAAGGAGTCACCAGTCACGCAGGACTTGATCCCATGGATTCGTGAGAATGAAATTGGCGCGGATGCCGCGATAGAAACACCGTTTTCGCCACAACACGCCACAGGTACAAGAACCCTTTTGGAAGATAGAGAGATCATATTACTCTCTGGAATCTAGAAAATTCTGTAATTTATTTAAGCCTGGTTTTCGATTAATGGTAGAGAGACAGATTTTTCTTCTCTATTAGGAAGACTTGATGAGAGTTGAACTATGGGTGAGCTTCCACTGTCCTTTTTTTCTGTCCAATCTTCCTATGGCACCTGCTTCCCACATCTTTGGTCAACTGTGGTGCCAAGTTCAACAAAGGGTCGTTTTTGTGGTGTTTAAAAGAGACGGAAAAGAGGAAATTTCACGAAAAGTATAAAATATGTGGCATTTGCTGTTCCAGGGAGTACATAAAAAACCCCTTCCCCTTAACGGCCATGTGTAGCTCTGGGGAGCGAGTTGGAGTCGGTCAATTAGACCACCCAGGTGGTAAATAAGTATAATAGGCTTTTCGCTTAGGCCGTTTCACACATCCACACCAGCTGGCACCTAGGTATAATGGGCTACAAGCTAACGTTCGCCATCAAAGAGCTGTTCAAAATTAAAATAAATAATTAAAATAAATAAATCTGGGGCGTTGTTTTTTCACATATTTTGATAATCGATAGTGTGATTACGACTTATAGATTACTAACACTTCATGCTATTATGCTTTTATTCATTTTTTCCCAAATTTTTTATTCATTTACTTCCTAAAATCCACAGTGTGGGTTGAGTAGGCGGCGAAATCATGCCCGTCTCACCAAAAAGCGAAAAAGGCGCCGTAGTGAAGTTTTATTTAGGTCACCGCTTGCCAGGCATTATTGTATAAGGTCGATGAAATGAGATTAGTAAATCTCTGGTCTAAATTCCCTTGTCACAATTCGACTGTTCTATGGTCTCCACCAATTCAGCAATTCAAAACCACCTTATGAGCCGATCTACGGACTACACAGCATCTGCTCCGTGCAATTCGTCCAATTGAAGACTACATTTTGGAGCATGTATTGCCACTATACGGTAACACTCATAGCTCGGTGACGGTGACATCGGAGCAGACAACCCTATTTGTACATGAAGCCAGGTATCATTGCTGATTTTTATGTCCTCTCTGGTAACAGCCCGATGGTATGGTGGACAATCAAGATTGTCATTTAACAGGAGATTCGTGCCATGACTGGTGCTGGTGATGGAGATAGCGTGCTATTCGTTGGTTCTGGTAGTACAGCGGCTGTTGAACTGCTCATCCATCTGATGCAACCGGAAAAGCTGGTAGGGTTTCCAGTTGAATTATTCTTCGAGCAAATGTTCCATGACTGTTTTTCTTCTTCTTCTGCACAATTCTGTTGATGGTACAGTGCCCTTTCTTTCGCACTAATGATGGTAGTAGGGGTCTGTCTCTTCGTAAATGGCTTCAGCGAAAATCCAGAACAGGTAAATTGCGTTGTATGCTGTTAGCATCCTCCAAAAGTCGTATTAGAAATAAGGGTAGAAAGAGTAATTGCTCCGGTTGAATGGTAGCAACTGTACATTTTCTATGTGACATTGTCAATATATCTTGTAGGTCTAGCGCAGCAGTGAGGGATAATATCCTTCATAATTTCTTTTTCTTCTTTAATGGTTTTTCTTCTTTGTTATTGAGCATTTAATGCGGGAGAAGCGATGAGCAGTGCATTTTGTAGGCTATCTGATCTAAAGGCTCGTTCGACGATAAGCTTGATTGAGCAAGTTTCCGTAAGAGATAGTGCTGATTACAATGGTGAAATATGAGTGATTCTTCTAGGTGTTCTTTCTTGTAGGTTCTAAGAAGGTGCAAAGGGCAGCTGGGTGTTTTCGTTTGCAGTCCGCTGCAAGTTCTGTCTGCAGTTAGGCTGGTGTCAGAGTCCGCGATCCGTCGCGCGAATCGCAAAAATCGCAAGTGCCCATTTGAACATTTGAAACACTGAATATGAAACAAGTAGAATCATGAACAGTCGTCATTCAACCATCACCATCAAGCAGAAATGGCGGCGGGATTGGAGAACACCTTGCAGTATTGATCGGGCACTTGTGATTTCCTGTGATCCGTCGCGCGATCGCGTCTATTGCGCGACGGATCGCGGACTCTAACACCAGCCTCAGTGTTCTGCACACTGGTGAATCTTCACCGCTCCACCCCTCCAAGCTGTTGCTAGCTATAAAAGTCTGTCTTCCTTTCTGGTATCCATTGTTCCTTCGTTGCAGCACTCTCCACCCCAGAAGATGGAAGAAAATAAGTGTATAAATCAAAATGAATTTTAATATAATACAAATAGAAAATTGCTACATAACATTGCTATGAAGCTTGTCCGTCCACGCTTCACCTGTAGATCGACAGAGTTCTTGTTGAGTTTTGAACTACTAACAACAATTACTAGCTTTGCTCCGTTGAATTATTGTATATCGACTAAACGTAAATAAAAGTGGCCAAGGTGTTTTTTGCATTATTATATAATACATAGAGATTTTTTCTAATTTTAGGTAGTGATTTTATCGGTTCATGAACATCACTCGAATACGCTACCTTGGCGTGCGGTTGCTGAAGCTTGTTATTATGTACGCGAGTCCAGCAACGGTGGCATCGACCTCGGTAAGTTTCAATTGGAC